AAAAGCATTTGCATGAACAAATGAAGGTAAGCAAGCCTTCTGGCTAAGAAGTTTAAGTCACAGACGCATTTGCGAGTAGCAGCGTAATTCAGAAGAGGTACAGTTTCATGAAAGAATTAAAGAAAACCTCTTCTGATCCTAAGAAAGTATGTTCAACATGAAGCTCCTAACCTTATGTGCTAAAGCTGTGTTAGGTATACGCCTTAGGCCTTACACCACTTTGAAACTAAGTGCAGCAGATAAAAGATTAGTACTAGTGAACTCTTCTATTTACCAGCACGTGCCTCTTATGTCTTTTCTGAGTAGTCATCAAAATATCAATTGTTCACAGTTGTTCTCTTTGATATACACTCAATACATGAGTTTCAGTATATTTCTATGAATTTAGAAATAATTTGTGATGTAATATCAATGTATCATTGAAAAAGGTTATGAAAGTTATCCAAATAATATGTAAACTGTTTGTTTTGAAGACACACAGTTTTTCTTAGTAGCTATGAACCTTTGAACTTCTTCAGTTCATGCTACTCCTGATATTGAGATAGATATCTATCTCAGCTTTTTAGAAGTACAACTTTTATTTTCTTAGCTAGAAAATAGGAGATACTAGATACATAAATTAGGATTACAGCCAAATTTCAAACATATCAAAACAAATTTCCAAAATACAAAAGTCTATGGTTAAAACTATAATCTGTTTACATGAGCATGGTCAAAACAAAACAAAAAAAAATAAAAGGAAAATTTAATAGCTGCACTGACATCAATAGTATACCTCCTTTGTAATTCTGCTACTGAATGTGATGGAAGAATAAAACTATCACTGAGACATTACAACAGGTATGCTAAAATCTCATTTTCCCATTTGCCCTGAATTCAGAATTTCAAGATTTGATAAGCATAATATGTAGTAAACTGATCTTGTTTATAGAAAGATATAATATGTGAATGTAATGGAGTCTCACCATCAGAATCCATTTTGCGCCACAGAGAAATAGTGAATTTGTGCCTGGTTTTGAGGTCTTGTAAGCCATCACTTATTAACCACTGCTATTTTGCAAAGCAAAGATTTAAATAAATAACAGCCTATTTACTTAGACCCATAACAGGTTGCTTTAATATGTGCATTGGAAAAGAGGTTAGAAAAGGTCAGTTTGTGAAAATCACTAGAAGTAAAAACTAGAAAGAACCCAAGAGGAACACGAGGTGCAGCAGTTTAGAGGAAGAGAGGACCCATTCTTTGTCAAAAATGGATAGCCATTATGCTGTACAGTTTCCAGGGCAAAGCTCTGACCTACTAGAAAATTTATGTATCTGTTGACTACGACAGAGTAATGCTACAGATTTTGCAAAATTAAGCAAAATACTTCAATTTAAAATTAAGATTTTTTTTTTTAAACACTTAGCTAGGAAGAATAATTATTAGAACTTGGATTACATACCTTGGCTACAGAAATAGAGTGAAGAGCCTGATATTGCAGATGCTGAGCAATGTGTGTCACAGAATCTGCCACAACCATACTTCTTCGGTAAAACATGTGTTCAATTGCCTGAAGTAAATGCCAAAACACAACGGTTCAGGTAATTAATGAAATTGCCTTTAGAATTTGTCTTTATGCTGGCAGAGTCATCCACACTGCAAATACAGACTCTTTCCACTTTGTAATATACTGTTAGTAATATACAGTTGCAATTAACCCTTAGAAACTGAGAAAATCAAATCATTCAGGAGTGTAAAAAAGCTAAGTGATGTAAGTTTTGTTGGGTGGGTTTCATGGGTTTTGTTTTCTTTCTTTTTTAAGTAGTCCACCTCTGTTCAATATTGCTTTCTGAAGTTATCTCAAAACAGAGTATTTTCTTTTTGGAAAAAGTACCAGGAGAAGTGCAAAGTCCTGCACTCAAGGAGAAACAACCCCATATACCAACATATATATATTGGGATCCATCCAGCTGGTAAGCAGGACCTAGGGGTCCTGGTAGACCCCAAATTGAATATAAGCCAGCAGTGCGCCTTGCTGCAAAGGCGGCTAATGGTATCTTTGGCTACATTAGACAAAATATTGCCAGCAGGTTGAGGGAGATGATCCTTCCCCTCTACTCAGCAATGGTAAGGCCACAACTGGAGTATTGCGTTCAGTTCTGGGCTCCTCAGTACAAGAGAGGCATGGACATAGCGGAGAGAGTCCAAAAAGAGCTGGGACTCTACAGCCTGGAGAAGAGAAGGCTTGGGAAGGGCAGAATCTTATCAGTGTATATAAATACCTGAAGGGAAGATGCAAACACGATGGAGCCAGGCTCTTTTCAGAAGTGCCCAATGACAGGACAAGAGGCCATGGGCACAAACTGAAACACACGAGATTCCCTCTGAACATCAGGTGACACTTTCTTACTGTGAGGGTGACCGAGCACTGGCACAGGCTGATTGTTCAGGGAAGATGTGGAGCCTCCATCCTTGGAGATACTCAAAAATCATCTGGACGTGGTCCTGGGCAACCAGCTCTAGGTGGCCATGCTTGAGCAGGGGGAGGTTTAACCAGATGACCTCCAGAGGTCCCTTCCAACCTCAATCATTCTGTAATACCAACTAAGGAAGGCAATTAGAAGTTAAATAAATCAGGTTTAGCCTCCCAAATCTCCTGTTCTCTACCCAAATCTAGTCTTGAACAAGAAGCCATGAAAAAGCATGTCCCCACCCAGTTGTATTGGTTTGGGTTTTTTTGGGGTGCACTTTTTTTTTTTGAAGGAGAGCAGGGGCAGGACACAACTGAGGGAAAAGGTGTGTTGTTGTATTCATACATGACATTTCATCAAAGTTGTCTGTAAAGGCCTGCATGAAATAAACAGCTTTTATCCAGTGACCTACCTTCAGAAGTTCTACAAGTCTGCACAGAGCTTTCACCGAGGTTTTGGTCATAGGTTTTTGCATTGACATGTAGAGATTCATTGTAGTTTTAATGATGGTGCTAAGACTGTATGCATAAAGAAAACCCTAAAAATAAAATGAGTAAGGGAGGGGGGAAAGAATTTTTTCACAACATATCAATCAAATAAGTCCCTCTTTTGTTTTCTTTCATACATTACCAAACTAACTTTTGCCTCCTCACTCTACAGAACCTAGCACTCCACCTAATAAGTAAGCCTGAGATCCCAAAGCTTAATGAGACCCTTTTATTGGGCAGACATTATGAAACTGCTTACAGGCCATTAGATCACCTGATCATTAACCTCTTCTAGAGACATTCAAATTAAACTAAGTCAGTGAATTAATTAATTGCACAGCCTCAAAGGTCTAATAGTTTCATATCTATTGTAAACCAACCCACCAAACAACTCCTATCCCCCCAAAAAACAGCCTATCACAAAAAAACCACCCTAAAACTTTCAGATTCTGTGGAATAAATACACTGACAGTATTTACACAGTTCTACACTGTCTAAATAGAACTGTCCATCCCACATTAAAAAAGCAATCCCTTCTAAATCAGTATATGCTAAGCTTTTAAATACAGCATGACAAAAATGTTATTCAACTTATTTCAAAGGAGAAGTAGTAACACTAAAAAAAGACTAGAAAAAGACAGCAAGTGGTCTAGGAAACTCAATTTGCTGAAGAGCAAAATTTACGTAAGTCCACTGCAAATAATTCAAATATAAAACCCACAAATCCTAGTATGTGTACGCCTTTAGATATAGAAGGTTAAGGATCATACTCTGTCCCACACCTATTCTCATCAGGCTTCTGTCAGGCAGATAGATACATAACGAAACTAGCAAAAAATAAATTCAGAAATAAGATGCATCTTACATTAAGACTACATGCTGTTAGTAGGCCAAAAGAAAACCAGCTGCCTCGGAACGTAGTAAGATTCTTGCAAAGTACCATCACTAGGCAAAGCACAATGAAACAACACAAAACCTTTACTGGAAGTATGTACTGTGCTAAATAAAACTAAATTAGACACTGGTTCAGTCCAACTTATGTACCTCATGACTAACTCAAAAGGAAAAAAACCCAAAACCTTTACTACAGACTAAATGAAGCTTTCTTGATTTCCTAAGTCAAGAGAAAAATTCAAAATTTTAGCCACTGACTCTTTAGATTCACTTTCCCCACACACCTTACGGAAAACACTTTTTACAGATTTACTTAAAAGAGCATCTACTGGACATTTAAAGTTTTAGAAGAATTCCAACATTGTAAAATAACACACCGACGATCACAGAACTTCTGCAATTTCTTTTTATGTTCAACAACTTGCACCAAAACATCAGTTTGCTGCACCATTTGCTGTATCACCACATTAAAAGACTGCACACCTGGATGAAGACATTGCAGCGGTTAGAAAGATCTTCTGCAAACTTATTCATGCGTTGCTCCTTTGACAAGATAGATTCCATTTTTGTCATCCACGAGCTCACAAAAACATAATATGACTGCATATCTCTGAAGAAGGAAACAAAGAGTGTTGCTCGCTTCAAATAAGAAGAGGATTTTCTTTTTTCTTTCCAAAGTTTAAATTCTTCTAAGGGAAATATGTTAAATCTTCAGTTCCCAAAGTAATAACTCTCCATTCCCAAAAGTATCAGAACCTCATGCTAATTTACATTTTAATTCTGTATTGGTAAGGATTTGTCTGCCAATTATAACTGTACATACACACCCCAAGGATTCAAAATCATTTATCTTTCAAGAGAACAAATGGCCCTCTTAGCAGTACATATACTATACTACTTTAAAATAAAACAGTAAATAAAACTGCTAGAAAAAGCTTTTAAACATCAGAAAAATGTCCTCCACTTACATTATTTTTTTTCCTTCAAGTTTCCACTTTTGAGTGTTTATATATGTCTTTATATATATATATATATATATATATACACACACACGTATAAAAACAACCCAACTTGTCATTACAGCAATGCCAAACTGGACTGCTTTTAAATAACATAATTCTCCAGAAGTTAATCCACTCAGACTACACTAGTTGCAATTAAATGTTTAAATAGAGTTCACTTTTAAAACTGCTATTTATTCTAGGCTACAGAAGTGTGACACTGCAATACTACTTATTGTAGCAGTTACAGCAGGA